CTTTATTCATAATAGCCAGAACCTGAAAATAACCTAGAAGTCCTCAGCCAAAAACAGATAAAGAAAATGTGGTACATTTACACAGTATAGTATTACTTGGCTGTTGAAAACAATGACATCATGAAATTTGAAGGTAAATAGATGGGACTAGAAAAAAATCATCTTTAGTGAGCAACCTAGACCCAGAGACAAACATGGTATGTACTCACTTATAAGTGAATATTAGCCATAAAGTAAAGGATAATCATGCTACAATCCACAGACCCAGAGAGGCTAGGTAAGAAGGAGGACTCAAATGGAGACTTGGTTCTCAATGGGAAGGGGAAATGGAAAAGGTTTTGTTGGTGTACTGGGGGCAGATGGGGGAAGAAACATGAGGGATCAAGTTGGGGGGATAAAGGGGAAGAGTACTGAAAGAGGCAACTGGAAAGGGGAGCACCTTCAGGGTCAGATAGAAAGCTGATGTAAGAGAAACTCCCTGGAACCTACAAGGATGAACCTAGCTAAGACTTCTAGCAATAGTGGATATGTAGACTGAACTGGCCATGAACTTGTCCTATGACCAGACAAGACTTCCATTGGAGGAACTGGGATACCAACCCAGCCATATAACCTTCAACCTACAGTTCAACCTACCTATAAGATATGCTGGGGTAAGCATGGAACAGAGATTGTGGGAGTGGCCAACCAATGGTTGGTACATCCTGAGACCCATGCTATGAGAGTGAGCCTACCCCTGACATTGCCTGGAACACCAGGACCCAGAGGCTGGATGGCCCAGAGATATAGGAAAGAACCAAACAAGAATGGAGAAAAAATGTTAATGTAATGATGACTAATGATATTCTGTTATACTTATGGATTGGTGCCTACCTCAATTGTCATAGGAGCTCACAGAGTCTGAACTGACAATCAGAGAGCCTGCATGGGACTGGCCTAGGCCCTCCACATATATGTGACAGTTGTGTAGCTTGTTCTTCTTGAAGAACTCTTAACAGTGGGAGCAGTGGCTGTCTCTAACTCTTTGAATGGCTTTTGGGAACCTAGTCCTCATACTGTGTTGCCTTGCCCAGACTTAATACAAGGGGTGGGGGGGTACTTAGTCTTAACACAACTGGATATGCCATGTTTTGTTGACATCCATGGGCGGCCTGAAAAGAAATGGAGGAGGGGTGGATGGGGGCGGACAGCAAAGGAGAAAAGAGGGAAATGGGAGGAGAAGAGGGAGGGGAAACTATAGCTGAGATGTAAAATAAATAAATTTAACTAAAAATAAAAATAAGAGTTGCTATGGTCATGGAATCTCTTCACAGCAATAGAAACCTTAACTAACATAGACGTTAGTTAAGTACCAAGTATGTTGGTACCAGGAGTGGGGTAGTGCTATAATAGGCCTGACCATGCTTTTGTTGGAGGAATATGGAATAATTTGGGACTTTGGACTAAAAAAAAAAAGACATTTTAAGTGGGGCTTAGTGGGCCATTATAGTAGAAGCATGGAAGACAGTGTTATTGAGGGTGATTTGAACTGTGGGGATCCATCTAAAGAGGTTTCAGAGAGGAAAAAAATGTATGTGTCTAGAGACTGTTCTTGAGATATTTTGATAAAGATATTTTGCTTTTACCCTCGTCCAAAAAGTGTGCTTATGCTAAATTGAAGATCTTTGGATTAATTGAGTTTTCAGAGGAAATCTTAAAACAGTTTAGTATTGACTCTGTTCTGTGTTTATTGGTGTTCACTATTAGCAAATTTATAATGAAAAGGAGAAAGTTGAGAAAGGAAAAATACAAAATGCACAATCTGAGGAGATAGGGGGTACCAGGAAGTGTAAACAGATTAAAGAAGGGACTGATGCTAAGTGGAAAAAAGGTATGGTGTCCTCTGAGCAAGAATCCACCCAGCTAAACTTTCAGCTTGTGAAAAGAAATTAAAGAAATGGAAAAATGTATTAAAGAAAAGATTAGGGTCAGGCATTGTAGTGCACACCTTTATTCCCAGCACTCAAAACGTAGATACATTCAGATCTCTTGTGTTCAAGGCCAGTCTGATCTACAGAGTAAGTTCCAGTACAGCCAAGCTTAGGCAATGAAGGAAACCATCAAAACAGAAATCTGATGAAGGTGTAATTGAATAAAAGGACCATGTCCCAGGCCCAGCAAGCAGAACTTGGCAGCTTTGGTCACATGGTTATGGATTTAGAGTCAATGATACAAGAAAGGGATTAAAGAGTCTCCTTCTAAGGGGTGTCCCTGTGTGGAGACCTGGAGAGGCCATTACATGAAGCTGCAAATGTGGTCTGGATTGCTTTGGAGACCCCAAGATGTTGGAGATGCTGAAGTTATGGAATAACCACCAAGGAAAGCAGTTAACCAGTCCATGAAAAGGAAGGTGTGTTTCAGTCAACAAAACTGAAAGGAGTTGGATATATGAAGAGCATTTGGACATCAAACACAGAAATGAAGAGTTTGGAGTTTGCCCAGTTGATTTTCAGTCTTGCTTTGGTCCAATATTTCCTCACTACATTATCTTTCCTTCCTTTTGGTATGGTAATGTATATCCTGCCTCAGTATATGTTGGATGTAAATTATTTTCTTTTTGTATTTTGATTTTATGGGGGAATTACTCTTAAAGTATTACCATGAGTCTCAGAAGAAACTGGACTTTTAAGCAGAGTTGAGACTGTTATAGACTATGGGGACTTTTGAATTTGGACTGAATGCATCTCTTCATTATCATATGGCTATAAGCCTATGGGGGACATGGAGTAAAACATGATGCTTTAAGTAAAAATGGTCCCTATAGGTTCCTAGGGAATGCCACTATTAGGAGTTGTGACTTTATTGGAGTAGGTGTGGTATTATTGGAGGAGGTGTGTCACAGAGGGTGGGCTTTGGGGTCTCAGATGCTAAGCCAAGCTCTTCCTGATGTTTGTGGATTTGGATACAGAACTCACATCTACCTCTCCAGCACCATGTTTGCCTGCATGCTACCATACTTCCCACCATGAAACCTCTGAACTGTAAGCCAACCCCAGTTAAACGCTTTCCTTTATATGAGTTGCCGTGGTCATGCTACCTCTTCATAGAAATAGAAACCCTAAGTAAGACACCATGGGAATCCTTTGGCCAACTCAACTAAATGTAACCCATTCCTGGTATTGGAAATTTCATTTGGTGACAAGAGATGTCCCGCTGGAGCTCTGCCTCCCTCTTAATTTAGCCATTTCATTTGGATTGCCTTCATATATGTGTATATGTTATGAATCTTCTACTGTATTGTTTCTTTCAGTCCTTCAAATAGCCCTTAATTTTAGCTGTCTTTCCCCACTCTTCCCTTATCCCTCACACTTCGTCCCCCTTCTCCACTGGATCCTCCAGCTCCATTCCCCCCACTGCTGTTTGATCTTCCAATTCCAGATAAGTGAATACATACCATATTTGATACCACATTTATCTTTCTGGGTCTGGGTCACCTCACCAAGATTATTTTTTTCCTGTTTCATCTATGATCTCATTTTTCTTTACAATGCATAGTATTCCACAGTGAATATGTGCCACATTTTCATTATCCATTTATCAACTGAAGTATATTTGGGTTATATCCATTTCCTACCTAAATAGGCTGAGCAAGTCTCTATGAAGTACATCTGGCCTAGAGTTTGGAATGTAGATCTGACTGGCCTCAAACTCAAAGAAACCTGCTTGGCTCTGCCTCCTAAGTGCTTAGATTAAAGGTGTAAGCCCCATGTCTGGCCATCTTTTCACTGGTTTATGGTATGCAATACTTTCGAGTATGGTTTTACTCTGCATTAAAAATATTTTATATAAGTATATAGATTTAAAAATAATCTAGTGCCATTCAGACAAAAGCACTTAATTGTCTTTATATAAAAATTGCATTTATAAACCGTGCCATTGGGCGTGACTACAACATATTTTTGCTGAATAAATGAATGATGCTTTAGTGGGTGTTTGCTAAAGGTTCTGAGAATAATAACCCATATTCCTTTCTAGGTTTGATTTCTAATGGGAGCTAGCTTTGGTTTTTATTTTGCTTTGTTTTTCTACCCAAGTTTGCTTTGAATCACCGAAATGATTCATAACACTAAAAACAAGTTGAACCTGAAATTACCCTGCCGGAAATGAGTTAAGGATTAGAGATCAAGTGAAAGGGAGGGGCTTGAGAGAAATCAAGAGAACTCTTCTACATTTGTGGTGAGACAGGAGGAAATGCCAACAGCAGTTTTTGTTCTCATTACTCCAATTACATTGTTTTAAATAGTTGAATCAAATGCAAAGTACAGAGTAATTCAGTCTCCAGGATCCAAAAGGCACTTTTCCCAGGTGTGGCTGGCCTCTCCACTCCACCCCCAGATGAGTCACTATACAGATGAGTCACTATACAGAGATTAGAGAGAGAGACCGACCCATCCTTGACCCCTCCCACACCCATACACAAAATCATTGTAACAGGTGGGGAGAGGTGAATGGATGGATCACCACTGGAGGGGAAGGGACTTTCTCTCAGCCAGCCCTGCTGGAATCCTTTAACTGGAAAGAGAAAGGGGAACAAGAATCAGGGAACCTTGGCAAAGGGCTCTGAGTCAGGTAAGGAGGTGATTTGAAAACATCCTTAAAGAAAAGCATGGTCACAGGACCCTGCTATCAGGGTCTTCTCTGCAATCCAAGTTTCTGGTGACATCTGTCACTTCCCTAAGAAGCCCATGACCTTTTCCTTCCTGTTTCTCTATGAATGATGGCACATCCGGAAGCTCATAAAAGTGGCTTATCTAGGAAAGCAAACAGCTCACTCTGAAAAAAAGATAATAGTTCAACAGGAGGGGAGTAGTTCCAGCTTTTGCTGTTAGCTAAAGGAGGGTTCTGGTCCCTGCCCTATGGTGTGGGTAAGATGTCCCACCCATGACCTCATGTTTTAGAGAGTGAACTCTTCCTACCCTATGCCACACACTAAGTACTCTTCCTTCTGAATCTCACTCCAGGTACCCAAGATTCTTCCTCTCAAATGACCATGAACTCTCTTCTGGTTCAGTATTACATTTTTATCTATCTTCTCTGTGTGCTGCTGGAGTACCTGCTGTATCTGGTAAGGTAGAGAGGTAACTGCCTGCAGCTATTGCAGGTGGATAAAAATTTACTTGCAAGGCTAGGGTGTCCCTATAGGTTCCATATGCCATGGGTTCCATATGCCTGAATACAGGAGCCCTTGGGTAGAAGCTGAGTGGCCCCCAGATGACCACAAATCCATGTGCAGCATTAAATAATCCCAATGTGAAATCAGACTTTGCCCTTCAGGTGCTGAGAAGGTATTCTTGTCAGTAGAAGAAGATAAACTAGGCATGGGGATTTGGTAGAGTGCTTGCCTAGTACTCACAAAACTCTGGATTCCATCCCCCACACCCCATAAACTGGGCAATGTGGATCATGCCTATTCTCCCAACCCTCAGGAAGCTGGCACAAGAGAATCAGGAGTTCAAGGTTATCCTTGACTACACAGGAAGTTTGAGCACAGCCTAAGCTGTACGAGACCTGACCTCACCACAGAAAAAGCAGAATAGGATGTCTTAGTCATTGTTCTATTGCTGTAAGGAGACAACCTTGATCAAGGCAACTTATAAAAGCAAGCATTTAACAGGGGGGCTGACTTACAGTTTCAGAGGGTTAGTTCACTATCATCCTGGTAGGGAGCATGGTGACAACATGGCACTGGAGCAGTACCTGAAATCTACATCTTGAGAGACTGGGACTGCCCACATTTGAAACTTCAAAGTCCACCCCCAATGACTCAACTTCTAATTCTTCTAATTCTCTCAAGTAGTGATACTCCCTGGTGATTAACCATTCAAACATATGAGCCTATGCGGCCATTCTTATAAAAACTACCACAGAGCAGGAGGAGGAAGTAGGGAGGGCCTTGCCAGAGGAAGAGGAGGAGAAGGGAAGAGGGAAAGGAATAGGGGAGAAAGGCTATTTTATTTAACGATTTGTTAAGTTGGTTTACAGCCTTCAGTCCTATCATGTGAGCCTGCTTGTACTTTTGCTTGCTCACTGAAGACAGCAGAAATGGGTGGACCCACTGCATGTTTCCATACAACGATGCCTATTTATGGCTTTCCTAGTAATTCAAATTTGGTCGATACTGGTGGGTTGCCTCTTATGCCACATACCAATTTCTCAGTCTGTCAAAGAGATTATTATGCTTTGCCTACCAACGAAATATCTAACTTGGTGTCAATAATTCATGACAAAAGCAGAAAAGGGCTATAGTTTTTCATAGAAAAGAAAATGGAAGTGTCAGGTTAGATTATAGCATTGAAAGTCTCTAGCCTTCTCATCTGGCTTAAATTTCTAGCTACTCTTCCCAAGTGTCTTTAACAAAGGACTCTGTGAGGTTCAATATTTAGCAAATTAATGAGTTTCCTGTATTTTTGGTTTATTTTAGAGAAAGCATTATCAAAATATTTAAACAACTTTAACTCTATAAATATTCTAATGGAGCTCAAATTTTACACGAGTCATTACCATAGCAACACCTAGGGATGCTAAGGTATCATGCCTGTGGCTCTACAAATCCTCAGGGAACCAAATTGACACCAAAGCCTTGTTAAATGCACCCTGGTGTGGTATAGAAACCTGTCACACAGTCTGATATCAACCCTGTTGAAGGGGTTTTGGTGCCAGGGAACCTCATTATCAAAGCCCTATCTCTGGAGCTGACAATGATCACAGAGCAACAACGTGGTGTTATATTGTTTATGATTTAATGAAGCTTGTCTGGGGATCAGAATGCCACAGCCATAGAAGGTGGGTAGTGGTGGCACACACCTTTAATCCCAGGACTCAGGAGACAAAGGCAAAAGATCTTTGTAAGTTCAAGGCCACCCTGGGCTACATGAGAGTGAATCAGTCTAAAAGAGAAACAGAGTTCATGCCCTTAATCCCAGCACTAGAGAGAATATAAGGAGCTCAGCGAGTCTGAGATCTGATGAAGAACAATGCAGTCTGGAGATGCAATCCAGGGTTTGATGGATGGCCCCTTCAGTACCAGTGTTGGTAGAGGTGAGAGCTCTCTGGTGGCTTGGCTGCTTTGCTTCTCTGATATTCAGCTTGAACTCCAATATCTGTCTCTGGTTTTTTTATTTTGCTACACAACATCACCACAAAATGCCAGTTACCATAGATGAAAATGCCATGAAAGTCTCTGTTTAAAAGAGACAGAAGAGTGCTGGGGATATAGCTCTGGGTAGAGTGCCTGCCAGTACGCAGGAAGTCTGGGGATGGATCCCCAGAACTGCAGGAGCTGGGCTTGGTGGAGTATGTCTACAGTCCCTGCACCTAGGAGATTGAAACAAGAGGATCAGAAGTTCAAGGCCATTCTCAGCTACCTAAGTAGTTGAAGGTTAGCCTACACTACATGAAATTCTTCAGAAACAAAGTAAGGGCTGTGGTAAGGAAACAGTTTCTTCTTCTTAGCTTTATCAAATATATTTTCTTGAATGTTCTTCATTCATTTAATGATTCTGAGATAGACAGTATGTTCCACTGCTGGTCTTGCATGGCATACTGGAAAGGAAAAAAAGTCCTAAGAGAATGAGTCAACTCACTTTCCAGATGAGGCACAATGCATCAAAGTCCTCCTTTTTACTGATAAATGCCCACTGCCCAATAAGTAGCCTTCATAAACCCTAAACAGACCCTCTCCAACTTGTCTTCTTCCACAGGTATCAACACACTTGCACCCCTGGCGATTGTACTCCCCACCCTGACCCTTACCTGCAGTCACTGATTCTACCAGCACGGACTCTCCTTGTCCTTTGCAGCACTGGCTCCTTGAGAAAAGATGGCTATCTGGACAGTGGACTCCATGTTGTCATTGGAATTAAGGCATCACTTTATGTTTCTGTTCTGCACAGTTCCACTCATTTCCTCTGATTGGCAAGGTGAGGTATCATCTCTTCCAAGATACTCATTCATAAGAGCCTGTCATATCGTTCTTGTCTGAATCTTCTTGTACTCACTTGTTCACAAGCACTGTAAGAGTAGGAGTATCTACCCTGAGGATGGGTGTATCTCTAACTCTAGAACTAAGTCCCACAGTATTCTGAGTGTTCTGTAAGTGTTCCTTAGCTGAGTAAAGCATCAGGAGTTTAGAATGCAGTGTAGCTCACTGTTAAGAGTACTAGTCTAGCATGTACAGGGCCATAAGTTCAGCTATACTGACACTAAAGTAGGAGAAAGTTCAGGACAATTGTGCAGGCATCCTATCAGCACAATAGTGGGTATACACTTGCCTTCTTTTCAAGACCTTTCTTATCTGCCCAGCCCCACAATCTCATTGTGGCCAATGAGAAACCCACTCATCACCTCAAATGATCCAGTCAAGAAAATCCCTAACTGGTCCACCCAGTTGCTTGGGTTTCAGTTGATTCAAGATGTAGTCAAGTTGACAACCAAGATTAGTCATCATTGAAAGGTAAAACATTTTATCAGTGACAAAAATGTATTTTGTATTGTCTATATAGTGTAGTGGGATTGAACTATAAATTTATTATTGATTTCAGCTCAGAGCGTGGCACATGTCACATAGAAAGTGCTTGACTAATGATAAGTGAGTATGGGCATGATAATTGTGATATAAATGTGGAGACGATAAAATTGAGGATATTTCTACAAACATGCTATCTATCTGTGGATCCTTGTCTTCCCAGTGAAAATGTTTATATGATAAATTACTTAATAATCATCACTTCCTTTAGTTACCTAGCAACAGAGTTAAAGAGCTTTACCTGCATCTAATTGACCTGTTTCTTTCTAGACTGGGGGATTATTATTGCCACTTCAAGAGGCACTGAAGTGTACGTGTCACATTTGTGCAGGAATGGTTCCTTGTGAGGCTTCTGCCTGTTCTTGATGGGTTTCACCACCTTTGGAAAACAAGTAGAGACCATAAATGGTTTTTTGGGGGCGGGGGAGGTAGTTGGTTCTTTGGGACAGGGTTTCTCTATGTAGCCCTGGAACTCACTATGTAGACCAGGCTAGCCTCAAACTCAGAGATCTGCCTGGGATTAAAGGTGTGTACCACTACTGCCTGGTAATGTTTTTTAATAGAATATCCTTATTAATTCCTTGAGAATTTTATACATGCACACAATATATTTTTATTGTATGCAACTCCCATTCTTCCCTCTAACCCCTCCCAGATACCCTGAGTTTCCCAGGCCCTTTCCTCTCAACTTCACATCCTTTTTTTTCTTTTTTTCTTGAGATAGTCTGTCTCTGTGTAGACCAGTCTGGTTTCAAATTCACAGAGATCTGCCTCTGTCTCCTGAGTGCTGGGAATAAAGGTGGGTGACACTATGTGTTCAGTCGGACAGAGCCTGAAGCCTCTACGCACCGCTGCATGGTCCCAGAAATCCCCATTCCAGTTTCTCTCTCCAAACCCTGCCCACTCAGAGAGTCCCCAAACAAAGGAAAGGCACCAAAAAGCCCAGTTCTGAATTCTTAGCAACTATGGCAACTTCCTCCCTGACACCCACCTAAATGCTCAGCTTTTGACCATACTTGAGGCACAAACCCAGCTTGTGGCAGACACATCATCACACCTCACCAAAACCTATAAAATCTCCCTGCTTTAGAGTGGGAATGCAAATTCTCTGGCCTCGATCTCTGAGACCTAAGAATCTGCCAGAAATTTGCTTTGCTCAGTATACCTGTTGTTATATTTTTCAGTTGGGCCTGATCTGGCTTGTTGCATTGCTGGAGAAACTTATTTTCAGGAGTGGGGGGTATGGGTAGGGGCAGAAACTTATTATGTGGGGCAGGAAACCTGTTACTATACCCAGGCATTTTTTTTTAAATAACCCACCTAGTCCAATTTCTGCTGCCCATATAGCCATAGTTTTGGGACCATCCACTGGAGCATGGTAAACCTACCAAGAGCCACAACCTTAAGAAAAACAACCTCACCACCACCACCACCACCACCCCAGCCTCCCACAGCCTCTCAGCTAGGGATGAGCTCAGGGGCCCTTCCCTGCCTCATGCTGGGATGTTGATCAGCTTGGCTGTGCCCTGGCAACCACAGCTGCTGTAAGGGCAGGGGTCCAGGCACTTTGACTCCATCCTCCCTGACCTTCTGCTCTTACAGTCTTTCTGCACCCCTTTTCTGTGAAAGAGACCATAAATGTTGCTAGAGCACTCTGACCTAGCTATTCACTTTAAAGGTGTCCAGTCTTCAAAAGCTGGGAACAGAAAGTTCAACTGAGGATAAGGAGACCACACTATGAAATTACAGTGTAGAGCATATTATCTACAGACACGGAGTCTGATCTACACTCCCTGGCCCCTACTGAAATCACCTCACATCAAATGAAAAGGTACATTTTTGAAATACATTTTTCAGCAAGAAAATTTTGTTTCAGTTATGTAAGAGTACTTGATGGCTGTCACTCCTTCTATGGAGGCATCTTCAGAAAAGAAAGAAATGGAGACTGAAAAGGGCAAGGAAAGTGAATGATATTGTCTTAGTTTGGGCTTTTTATTGCTGTAAAGTAACACCATGACACAGCAACTCTTTTTTTTTTTTCACAGCAACTCTTATAAAGAAAACATTTTTAATTGTGGTGGCTTGCTTATAGTTTCAGAGGTTTAGTCCATTATTATCATGGTGGGGAGCAGGGCAGCATGCAGGCAGACGTCATCCTGGAGCTGAGAGTGTTACATCTTGCAGGCAACAGGAAGTCAACTGACTGTCACACTGCAGGAAGCTTGAGTAAAAGAGACCTCAAAGCCCACCTCCACAGTGACACACTTCCTCTAACAAGGCCACACCTCCTAATAGTGCAACTCTTTTTGGGGGCCATTTCCTTTCAAACGACCACAGATATGAAGCGTAATATCAGGATATTGTAGAACCCCAGAGAGCATTTGTTGAATTGAGCTGGATCTAGATGCATCTTGTGTAATAAAGCAAAGAGAGAGAGAGAAAAAAAACTTAACAAAGAGGTAAAGGAATTCAGGCACTTGAGGTGCATGGCTGTATACATAGGGATGAGTGGACTGTTATACAGGCAGCAGAGGATGGATAAGTCACCATGGTGATGAGTAGTGATTGCTCTGTGTGTGTGTGTGTGTGTGTGTGTGTGTGTGTGAGAGAGAGAGAGAGAGAGAGAGAGAGAGAGAGAGAGAGAGATCACAGGCTCCTGTGTTTGACCCTTGGTCTCTGGCTGGTGGTACTGTCTCGGGAAGGTGGTAGAACCTTTAAGGAGGTGGAGTCTAACCGGAGGAGATGAGTCACCTGTAGCAGGCACTGAGGTTCATTGTATACAGAACCATCTTCCTCCCAGGCTGGGTCATCTTCCTCCTAAGTTCTCTGCCTCCTGAGATGTAAGCAAGCAGCCTTTCGCTCCCACTGTCATAGCCACCAGGGCCATTGAACCCACTCTGCCTTCTCCACCATGATAGTGTGTAAAACCTCCCAAACTGTGAGCTAAAATGAACCCCCCTCCCTTCAAGCTGCTTCTTCCAGGCACTTTATCCCAGTGAGGAGAAAAGCAATGCAGGAAAGAAATTCTTTGGGACCCTAAAAGGAGGAAGACCCCCCAGGCTTGGGCAGAGCCAAAGTGACAGCACCTCTCAGGGAGTAGAGACAGCATCTGAGCATAGGACAGTGAGTGGGAAATTGAGTGAAATTAAGGTGGTGTGAACCCCTCCTTACTGAACAAGTTGTCTTTGTGTCATTATTTTAGGGACATCTATGTTAGCCGTAATTAATTTTACATATCCAAAGCTTGTTCTAATAATTTTATACGAAAGACATTTAATCCTATCCACAAGCCCATGAAGTTGGTACTATTAATATTTTCACTTTATGAACAGGAAACATTGCTGCCCTGCCAGTAAGTCATAGTCTGAACCCTGTTTGTCTAAACACACACACACACACACACACACACACACACACACACACACATACACACACACACGTGCACACACATACTCTGATTTCCTGAGACAAGCACTAAGTAGTTCATCCTGGTCTTGAACACGAGATCCTCTTGTCTTCATCTCCCTGGTTCCAGATTTACAGGTGTATGTTATCACACCTGGCTACAGTGGCATACTTTAGACAAAATATTTAGTCATAATAAATATTTTTAATATGGACTAGCCCCAGTGTCAGTCTAAATGGTAGACGTAAGACTCCAATCTGAGTTAAGTGTGGTGGCTCGTGCCTTTAATCCCAGCACTGGAGATGCAGAGTCAGAAGGATCTCTGGGTTCGAGGCCAGCTGGTCTACAGAGCAAGTTCTAGGACAACCAGAGATATACAGAGAAACCCTGCTTCTAAAAATAAAACAAAACAAAAGACTCCAATCTGAGCTTGACCTGGTAATATGGTCCTGTTATCTCAACTACTCAGGAAGCTGAGTCAGGAGAATAATAAGGCCTTCCTGGGTAACTTAGTGAAAATAAAAAAAAGTAAAAATGGAGTTGGAGAGATAGCTTAGTGTTAGAGTACTGCCTAGCTTGTGCAAGGTATTAAGTTCAATCCTCAGCAACAGAGAGACAGACAGACAGACAGACAGACAGACAGACAGACAGACAGACAGACAGACAGACAGACAGACAGACAGACAGACAGACAGACAGACAGACAGACAGACAGACAGACAGACAGAAAGACAAAGACAGAAAGAGACAGAGACACAGAGAGACAGAGGCAGAGGGACAGAGAATCCAACCTGGGCTGTTTGATAAGAGCTTCTTTTCATGTCTAGCTATAGATCTTTCAGGATGCATCTTTGACATTTGCTAGAGGCCCCTTTTCTGGCTAAGGAGAGAATGTCCATCTGAATTCATAGAGAAAGGAAGGTTCAGTGTAGCAGGAGAGTGATGGGGGAGGGAATGAGGGAAGTGAGAAGAACCGGAGAGAGAGACACATACACAGAGGGAAGACAGAGGGAGGCTAGAAGGACAGTGAAAGGAAGGAAATGGGGGAAGAATGAGAGAAGTTTCAGTCCCTGGGACTTGAGTAGCTCTGACTACCTCTCCATTCCTCAGATAAATATCTCTTTGATGGGTATGGGGGCTCTGAAGAAATGGCTCAGCAGTTAAGAGCACTTTCTCTTCTTCCCAAAAACCTGAGTTCAGTTACCAGTGCCCACACCAAGTACTTGTCACTTGGCTCTAGGGTAGTCAGCGCTCTCCTGTGGCCTCCACGGGCACTGCCCTGGTATATTTGCAGACAGACTCATGTACACATAAATAAATCCAAAATGAAATCACTCTTTTTGTTTTCCCCGATTTGGTTTGCTTTCTGTCATTTGCTGCTCTGTCTGAGCAGTGTCTCTCCCCACACCGCTCTTTGCTCACCTCCTTGGTCTCAGCCATCTACTCTAGTGCAGCCCTTGTAGACCACATACCATGCCGGTCCACACTCTGTGCCACCTGAAGCTGCCTGGACCACACTGTCTGCCTCCTGCCCCGTGTACTGCAGGAGAGACTTTAGACACTTAGAGCTGTGGATCTTGAAGCTTAGCATCTCAGGTAGGAACATAGATTCATGTCTTGTCATCTCTTTAGACTTTGAAATTCTAAATGCTGTTGTGCAAACACAAGGAAATGCAAAATGGGAAACAGTTCTTCAAAATCTGGGTACTTTTTCTTTCCTCGGATGAAAACCATAAGTCATCAAAAGGAAGAAAAAGTAGAGTAACTTGGGACAAGATTCTGGCTAGAAGGAGAGTTTGTCCCTAGAAGCACATCTCTTGCTGACTTTGGTTGGGACAACTGAAGTTAAACCTCAGTTACTTCCTTCCTCTTTGGAGTTTCATGTTTTAAATATTATTGCTGCCATATGTGAGACACAGCATGACCAAATATTTTGCCTGAAGTAAAGCTGGCAAAATAATCAGATCTTCTCTCTCAGTTTATGTTCTGGTAGACAACCCAGACTCTTAACATGCACACACAAACTGAAGCATTTGAAGTTATAAAGTAGTGAGTGGGTGACACTGAGCTAAAGATGGCCACCAAGCACTGGATTTAACCTGTCCTGCTTCTTCTCAACCTGGATTCTCACTGCGCTATCTCACTGGTTCTGCCTTTGTCTCAGGTAGTTGTACCTGATCAACCTGTATTGCCACCTCCTCACTATGACTCCTGTGGTCCAAATCCAGGCCCCTCACATAACACAGGAAACCCCTGATCTCTCCTGGGGACAAGCATGTGCAACAAAGCAATCTGGAAAGAGCTTTATCCCTTCCCCACCCTGTAGTCACACAGGAGAATCCCCTCCTAATGACTTTATTAAGCTGTCAGTCAAGAAGTACTTAGTGAGAGTTGTTTTGGGGCCCTCAAGAAGGAAGGAAATATGTGCCATGGAAAACCAAGGGAGATAGGGCCAAAGGCATCAGATAAAACCAAAAACACCAAGAAAACAGCCCAAGTAGGCGAACATCATCAGCTCTCTTTCTTTGCCAGTGGTTCCCCTGTCCTCGTAGTACAACCACCATTTCCATATTGTATCCCTACATGAACATACTTCTTCATTCAATGTATGGATATTGGGAGCCCACTAAGGTATAGGCTGTGACAGTGATATAATAGCAGTCCTAGGGACCTTCAAGGACCCCATGTCCTAGGGGGTACAGACAGGGAAAAAGAAGTGCATAATAAACTCTGAATACTTATAAGTTGATAATTGTTGTAAAGAAAAATAAATAAACTGAGGGAAATGGAGAGTAGAGAAATATGTGCTTTTTAATAGGGTGGGCCAGGAAAGGTAGTCACTTTCCATTACAGTTACCAAGTACCCCAGTTAACCAACTTATAAAGCTAAAAGGCTAACCTTGGCCCATGGTTTTGGAGTTTTCAGTCCATGCTTAGTTGGTTTCATTGTTTTTGGCCTACAGCAACTAGGAAACATGGAAAACAACATGGTAGAGGAATCTGCTAAGAGCAGGTATGATAAGGACCTGTGTCTCACAATGGCATTCACAGAATGACCTAAAGTCTCATACTAGGTTCACTTTTTATGGTTTCTGTCCCATTCCGAAAATCCATGGGGTGAGGAAAAGCCTTAAACACATGACCTTTGTGGGACATTTCAACAGATCCACATTACAACAAAGACCTTACTAGAAGTGGGATTGGGGCCAAGGACTTAAA